GTGTCTTTGCATTCTTGCTTCTCCTCTTCCTGCGGAAGTTCAGACACTGCCTTCTCCTGTGCTGGTTGCTTTTGCTGTGAAGTATTAACTTCTTCAATTTTTTTAGCAGTATCCTTTACTTGGAAGGCACTCTCTGCTGGAGAGGCAGGTCTGCCCTCTGTTTTTCTGTGATCATCTTCAAGATGAAGGCATTTGGAAGTGGATGAGTTTTCTTTAGGAACCATTACTGTTCCCTGGTCTTTGACCATGCTGCTATTCCTTGTTTCACCAGCTGAGATCTTTCCTTCTGCTTGTAGTGAACTTATTTGGCTGTGACCTGTTAAGATGGAAGACAAATGATGGGAAGAGGAAGACTCTGTATTCTCTTCCGAACCCTGGAGTGGTCTTATGCTTTCCTTAGCATCTTCAGAAATGTAAGGTTTAGCCATGTCCTCTACTGCTTCCTCTGAGGTAGGTTGCTCATCAGTTGCTGGTGTCACTTTTTTGCTGCTTTGCTTCTGCTCTGCACCAGTATCAACCTCCTGCAAAGAATCCGTGGAGATCTTATCCAGAAACGGCTCAGCCTTATAATGCCCTTCTGAAATGGTTTTACATACCAAGAAGCATTTAGGCGTCTCTCTCTGAGAGGAAATGGCATCAGCCAAAGGAGATTTTGGATGCTGGGCCTGAGGGTCTGAGCCATGAAAAGCCAGTTCTGCCTGGCACTGAGGAAACTCAGTGCTGAGGTCCACAGCCTGCAGGACGGCATTGCCAGGGGCTGGCCCATCCTGCACTATGCTGAGAGAGGAAGAGTCCTGGTCGCTTTCCAGGTCAACCAGCTCTACTTGCTTAAGTTTCAGAGAATAATCCAGTCCACCCTCCTCTAAAAGTATTTCTCCTTCCAATTCCGAGAGTCCCATTTGAGGCTCTGCATCACCTTGCTCTTGTTCCAGTCCTGCCGGCACTTTTTGCACAGGGTTAGAGGGTCTGCCCAGCATCTCTGCTGCTTTCCCTGGAGCAGAAAGGCAGTCCTCAGGAGTGCTGAGCTCTGCTCCCTTTGCAGAGTCAGACAGGCTGGTGCTCATTTCAGCTGATGCATGAGGGGCATGATGCTCTCTTTTGACTGCTATAAAATCCCAAGCTTCCCCAGTGGCGCTGCTGGCTTCTCGGGGAATGGTACCTCCCTCACTGGTTTCTTCAGACTCCATCAGTGACACATCCTGCTAAAGAAAAATGCATCTGTTACTACTGCAGAATGATACGGTGGATCTAATTGGCTTAAGAGACTTTTAAAAACAGGTACTAAAGCAGCTGAGAGAAAAATAAAAAATACATACTTAGTGGGTGATAGTTGGGAAACAAATACCAAGACTGAGAGTAGGCAAACACCCAATGTAAGCTTGCAGTACGAGAGTAACGCCAAAATAAAACTACTAGTGTCTTTTTAGTTTTACATGCAAATCCAGAAAGTGACTTTGGTCAAAGAGCAGAGATGCTGATCTCTCTGTAACGGCTGCAGTGCAACTTATGAAAAGTGTTGGTCATAGCTATCTATCTCAAACCCAAAAGGGGATACCAGAAGGCATTCAGAGAACAAGAAAATCATCAAAATCTCCATTAATTTTTGTGGGGCATGGTGGACAAATACTCATGACCTTTTCTAGTGGCTAGCTGAGTCTTAAAAATCTCTTTGATTTCAACAGGGAAAGGCCTGTACTTTGGAGCTGATGGTTCTCTTTACAGATGTCTGTGTATGTATGTGCAACACAGGGCCTTACTGCAACTGATCACAGGGATTGATTAACAAGACATAGGAATGTAAGAATTTGATTAACAGATAACTAGGACATGACACAAGACGTGAGATATTTGAAGGCTGTAAATGACATAGGTTGAGAGTACCACCTCTGGTGTGTGTGGACCTATCTACAGACTACAAAGAGAAGCTATATCATCATTTAGTCTACTCTTCTTGCGGGGGGGGGGACGGGACCCAGCCATCTCAGGATTGTTGGACAGTTTCCCAAAGGATATAGTGGAATTTCCCATCCATTATTGCATTTGAAGTTCAGACATGACAAAGCACTAGGGAATGTACATTTGGGAAATGTCTGTAAAAAGGATGGTAGGATCTGATTCACTGCTTTTATCTTTCTGGCTTCTACCTATCCCATGACCCACAATCCCTACCTTAAAAGACATGAGAGAGACAAACCTTAGTGGCTCCCCTCCCTTTTCTTCTATCTTTGGGACACTTCCTCTAATGTTTCAGCCTGTCTTCTCTATTCCCTATCCCCTGCTTATCAGAAATGACTTATGAATTGCTGCTTCAGGCTGCTTCACATACACTGGGTACCCTTGCAGTCATACCGGAGCTTATAATTTAGCCCTGAAGGATCTGCTGCAACGTGCCGCCACAGTCAGACTTCCCCCTGAATAAAGCTTCAGCATTCTCCTCCTTCATCCTATCTTACAGATGTCGAAGTTTCCAGACACGAATGCGTAGTCCTGCACCTTCTGGTCAGAGAAACCATTCCACATTTCTTCAGGTAAAAGCCCGCTAGCTGTTTAGTGGCAAAAAAAGCCCCAAGGCCTGGCTATGGACCATTCACAAAGCTCGTGCAAAAAAAACTCCTTTTCTTGCCCAAAACAG